CTATTGGGTTGTTTTATCCCAGCTATTGGGTTGTTTTGACCCAGCGGTTGGTTTCAAAACATTCCAACCGCTGGGTCAAAACAACCCAATAGTTGGGTTTGTCCCTTTTTAACCCAGCATTTTTTAGAGTGTAATGTTGCAAGAAAAAGAAAACCCATTTATATTTATTTTTTATTATTATTTTTATTTTTGATCTGACAAAAGGCAGTGATTAAAGACATAAATGTCAACAGCAACATTACACTCTAAAAAAATGCTGGGTTAAATATAACCCAGCGCTGGGTTAAAAAGGGACAAACCCAGCTATTGGGTTGTTTTGACCCAGCGGTTGGTTTCAAAACATTCCAACCGCTGGGTCAAAACAACCCAATAGCTGGGTTTGTATACACTCTAAAAAATGCTGGGTTATATTTAACCCAGCATTTTTTTAGAGTGTAATGTTGCAAGAAAAAGAAAACCCATTTATATTTATTTTTCATTATTATTTTTATTTTTGATCTGACAGTATATGTTATTGTAACTTATGAACTAATTATAATAAACTATGAATACAGATAATATCAAAGCAAGTGAAAAGTATTTTGTGCCATCTTTCTGTCAAATAAATGTCACTTCCTTTGACTTTAAATTTTGTATTTTTATTTTTTTTATGTTATATTAAATTACACTTGAGTGTGTCTTTAAAAGTTTTGAGGCCAGTATAATAACAAAACGAAGCTAATTTACTAATGTAATCATTGTATACAATGTAAAGTGGGCGTGTCTCTAGCTGACTAGACAATCACAGCAGACAGCGGCTCACGCTCATTATAGGAGACCTGTAGCTGATGCAATCCTGATGGTCAAAGAATAACTGATGGTCAGTCCTGTCAAAGACCTTTACACCTGATCCTCTGCAACTCCTATGCAGCTGCTGTGACCAAGAGTCACTCGTGACCTTCATGCAACTCAATTCCGTTTAATGTGTCTTTTAAACAAGTAATTTCAGATTCAGATCAGACTAGAAAGTAAGTAATGTGACTTTATAAGTGCTGAGAAGTTCAGTTTAAACTATGTGTGGTGGTAGTAATACACCGAAAGGAAGTTTATACCTTGGTCTTTTGGTTTCTATTAAAGTGTTATAGCCTTGAACAGAAGGTGGCAGCAGCGTATGGAGGACGAAACCTGCAAAAACAATAAATAAATAAATAAATAAATAAATGTGTGCATAGATACACCTATTCTTGTTTAAATACATAAAGAAATCATCATATGTGTGATGAAAGTAGGCAAATAAATAATATAAATTGGTGGGCAAATTGAAAATGTTTAAGGAAATGCTAAACTGATCCTAACTATTTTCATTTGATCACTCATTTATTTCTGAATGTAGTTCCACATTTTTTTCCTCTGAGCAACATGCTAATGAGAGGGTGTCAATTATGCAAGAGTAGGCGGATCGTTTGTGACGCGCTTGAGCGTTTGCCTGCGCATGCGTATTAACTTCATCAGTCAAGGGGACTGATTATTATCTTACACTTTTTCATAGGGTTAGTTTTGTAGTTATAATCATGAGAGAGCTAAATCATAAAAGATTTTTTTAAGTGGCCAATGTAAAATATTAATGCTTACATAGCTCTTAATTGCAATACTGAACCGTTATTTGCTTAATAAACATACTTTTGTCACCTGTATTTTCTGTTCTGATAACGAATGGGAAAAAATGGTCTGTTCCTCGATTAAACCACTTCATACCAGTCATCTCACGATGACCATGGGATACTGATATTACAGTTGTCTCTAGGTGGAGACTCAATCGGGTTACAAAAAATTATGTCAGGAAACGACACTGGCCATTTCTTTGGGTCGTTTGTAAAGTCACAGATACTGTACGGACAATACAGCTCAGTTTTTTATGTATCTTGCTCTGTTAAACGGAAAAAGTGACTTTACGTAGGCTATACTGGATTAACACCATGCATCTCCTGTCAGCGGGAAAGCCACGCCCCCAGCTATTAGAAATAAATGAGTGATCAAAGGAAAATAAATAGGATGAGTTAAGCATTTCCTTAAACATTTTGCATTTGTCCACCAATTTATTTTATTTATTTGCCTACTTTAATCACATGTTTAATTATTTCTACATGTATTTAAACAAGAATTTATGTATTTATACAGACATTTATTTATTTGCATATTTATTTATTTATTTGTGTATTTATTTTATTTATTGTTTTTGCAGGTTTCGTCCTCCATAGCAGCGGGGTGTTTCTTCAGCGACAGGCACTTTATTAATGCCCCAGGGTTTGTTCAAACTAAGAGATTTTAGCTTTTTGTCTCATATGAAAAATGAAATCATGAATGAATCATTTTTACTTCACAAATAAAAAAAAAATATTATTGTGTCCACAAATCTTTCATTAACAAATAGACACAAAAACATAATACATTGTCATAGATCATTAGCCTACTTTCCTGACACACAAAAGTAATACTAAAGTTAAATTTCCATAAAGAACTTTTAACATCTGAAGAACCTTTCTGTTTGACAAAAGCTTCTTTGTGGCGAAAGAAGGTTCTTCAGATTATAAAAAGGTAAGAAAGAGATGGTTCTTTAAAGAACCTTTGACTGAATGGTTCTTTGTGGAACCAAAAGTGGTTCTTTTATGGCATCGCTTGAAGAACCTTTTGAAGCACCTTTATTTTTAAGAGTGTATCTGCCTTATTTTGCAATGTAGAAGTTTGCTATTTTCTGCATGTCCGAGACTCCAGATTCATTAGCCGCTAATGTAGAGGAATAACAAAGTCCAGCAAATGACAAAAGCATCTGCGCTACAGACCAGTGCGTTTATGATTATGATGATAGTGAATTAAAGTCATTATAAAACACACTAGTTTGCAATATCAAGCAGCATAATGTTATTGTACAGTTAAAATAACTGGAAGTGAATGAACCCGGAAGCCGTGCATATTCAAACTGAGAAATGGCAGCGCCGCTCTTAGGTTAAAAATAAGGTGGATAATGATGTTCTTTATTCATCTCTTTGTGTTGACAGTAGTAGAAGATGTCCTGTGTGAGAGCTGTGAGAGGTCTGGCACCCATCTGTGGCTTTCAGTCTCTCGCTGTTTTATCTCGCTGTGTCAGTTTCTCTCCACGCCAAGTCGCATCGGATGCCAGTTTTCACTCGGTGTCCTTCTCTGAATCTGATCATCCCAGAGTTCTCATTACCAGTATGAGAGCAGGAGACAAGTGATTGCTTTTGTGATGCACCGTTTATTGTGTAATCCTATTTATAAAGTTTGTCTTTTTTTATGATGCGTTGAGGCCTAAAGGGATGTTATATAAACCTTTAGATGCCATGTTTCCCTGGTTACCACATTCTGAAGCATGGAACGCAGTCTCCATGGCAACACATCACTGATTATTAGATTTACTCATATTTTCTGTCTGTTTTTATTTCAGGAGGTCTGGGTCAGCTGGGAGTAGGGCTCGCCAAACTGCTCAGGTGAGACTGAAGCGTTTTCAGATGATTTTAGAACTTCACACTGAAGACCCCGCCCCCTATGACATTTTAACCAACCAGGTGTCACCATGTGAAAGGCAAACAGGCAGGGGCTGTTTCTGATTGGCTAAAAAAGTGCAGCAACTTTGTTTGCTGACTACAGAATCTAGGGTTGTCACAGTAATATCTGTCAAGCTGTAAGGAATTTTTATGCATGACATTCCAGAAAAAAATCTGGTTTATTTCCCTTTTTTACAGGAAGCAGTTTGGAAAATATAATGTAATTCTGTCTGATATCAGGAAACCGCCAGCTCATGTTTACCAAAGCGGTGAGTGTCAGTATATTCACACAGTGGGCAGCATCCTAGAAACTGAAACATTTCACATTTCTTCTCCAAAAGTGATGTATGTACTGTACATGAAGAATTTATTAATATATATTGATCTATATTTTAAATTTAAATGAATTTTTTTTTAATATAGGTAACTAATATTATATTTACTATAATATATACAGTATGTAAATGTGAATATTTAAATAAAATATATAATAAAATAAAATTGCAAAAATAAATAATAATGCTTATAATATTGTTACGGGGCTGACGAGACGGGAGAAAGAGTTGAATTTGAGGGCATTTTTTATATATATATATATATATATATATATATATATATATATATATATATATATATATATTGGCACTTAATTGTAAATGTTGACTTCATGTACCTTTATTTATTGAAAATATATAGTCAGTAAATGCACATTTTAGTCACAATTCTTCTACAAATTTGATATATGCACATGTATGAGTTCATAAATATAAACTGATCTGCATTTTGAATTTAAATCTATTTTATTTTTTAAATATATATTTATGTATGTATATGTAAATGAATATTTCATATTTAAAATATATAATAAAATTGGCAAAAATAAATAAAAATGCTTTTAATAAATACAAATACTTATATGCCTGTTTTAAAATCTTTATTTTATTATTTTACATTTTTAATTATTTATATTTATTTTTGTCATTTACTTAAACAAATGTTTACTTGTTCTATTCACTTGTGGTGTGACATTTTAGTCGTAATTCTTCTCCAGAAATGTACATGAAACTATGTAGATTAGTTTAAAATTATAGTTACAGAATATATTGATCTATATTTTAAATTTGAATGTATTTTACTTTTAGAATATTTATATACAATTTATATATACACAATATAAATGTTAATAATTTATATGCATGTTATTTATTTTCAATTGTATTTATTTTTATTTTTATATTAATTTTCACCTCAGGTCCCTTTATATTTTCGGACTACAAGAACTTGTGTGAGATTGTTGTAAACAACCACATCTCCTGGTTGATACACTACAGCGCTCTACTGAGTGCAGTCGGAGAGGCCAATGTGTCCCTCGCTTGTGACGTCAACATCACTGGTTAGTCACCGAGGTCAGTCATCTTCAGTCTCTTTTCAGCGGTAAGGTACACTGATGTTTCTTTTCTTGTTTTCTCATTTTTAGGGTTGCACAATGTTCTTGATGTCGCAACAGAACATGGGCTCCGTCTCTTCATCCCCAGCACTATTGGAGCCTTTGGCCCCATGTCCCCTCGTAACCCAACCCCAGATCTGTGCATCCAGTGCCCACGAGCCATTTACGGAGTGTCCAAGGTTCACCCTGAGCTAATGGGAGAGGTCGGTATGCTTTTGAGAGAACACCGGCAAATCCTGAACCTTTGTTGGGACTTTAATTTTAGCATTATATTCAATGAAAAAAATTAGAGTACAAGCATGATATGTACCTGTAGGGAGTAGGAAATACATCTACAAATACGTAAAACTGTTTCATGAGGTCTTAAGGTCTTAATGCATATTAATGTTACTAGCTTTGTTTTTCTTTATCTCAGTGTATCAGCTTTGTGATGCATTATTCAAGTATTTACATTTCTGTATTGTGTATTACAGTATTACCATCACAGGTATGGTCTTGACTTCCGCTGTCTCAGATACCCAGGAATCATTTCTGCAGACTCTCAACCCAGTGGAGGAACTACAGGTAAGCTGAAAGAAAATTAAATATATTCGATGAAAAACTTATTAAAACTTAAATTAGAGAATGTTGCCGTGTTCTTACTGTAAACTAAAACTATTAAATAAAGTAAATAAAGCTGAAATAAAATAGAAATATTAGAAAACTAAAAATGTTGCCTTGTGTTTTATGGAAACTAAAGCTATTCAAATTTGAATAAAGCTAAAAATATTAGACGAAACACTTAAACTTCGAAAATTTGAAAATGTTGCTGTGTGTTGTTATTGTAAAGTATTACAAATTAAAATTAAGCTTAAAATCTGAAAATAAAATAAAAGCTGAAATAAAATAGAAATATTAGATGAAAAACATAAAAAAAGCTTGAAAGAAAATAGAAATGTAGCCATGTGTTGTTATTGTAAATTAAAAGTATTCCAAAGTAAAATAAAGCTGAAATAAAATAGAAATATTAGATGAAAAATTTAAAAAGTAAAACAAAATGATAAATGTTGCCATGTGTTGTTATTGTAAATTAAGAATATAAAAAATTTACATAAAGCTGAAATAAATTTGATAAAAAACCCAAACTTAAAAAACTTTAACGAAACTGTTGCCTTGACAACTAACTGTAATAAAAATAAATAGAAATAGAAAAAAACTAATAAAATTACACAATTGAAGCACATAATAAAATGACTAACACTTCAACTAAAATGAAAACTGAAAATGTAAAAATAAAAGCTAATCCAAAATATTAGTAACTACTGTAATAGTAAATAATACTAAAATATCTGTGTTAATGCATCTGTGTAAACTTTTGCTTCCTTGCCTTGACAACTAACTGTAATAAAAATAAATAGAAATAGAAAAAAACTAATAAAATTACACAATTGAAGCACATAATAAAATGACTAACACTTCAACTAAAATGAAAACTGAAAATGTAAAAATAAAAGCTAATCCAAAATATTAGTAACTACTGTAATAGTAAATAATACTAAAATATCTGTGTTAATGCATCTGTGTAAACTTTTGCTTCCGTCTCTTCTATCAGACTATGCTGTTCAGATCTTCCACGATGCTGTGGAAGCGGGTAACTTTGTGTGCAATCTGAGGCCTGACACGAGACTCCCCATGATGTTCGTTGATGATTGTCTGAGAGCCACACTGGAGGTTCTGGAAGCTCCTGCTGAGGTGCTGTCCATGCGAACGTACAACATCAGCACCATGAGCTTCACTCCAGAGGATCTGGAACAAGAAATCAGGAGGCACCTGCCAGACCTGCAGGTCACCTATGAAACTGACCCAGTTCGACAAGCCATTGGTGAGAGTCGAACACATCAGTCATCGGCCATTCAAGACGTATGAGTTTGTTTCTTCATCAGATTTGGAGAAATGTAGCATTACTGACACTCTGCAGTGAATGGGTGCCGTCAGAATGAGAGTCCAAACAGCTGATAAAAACATCACAATAATCCACACCACTCCAGTCCATCACTTAATGCCTTGTGAAGTAAAAAGCTGCATGCTTATAAGAAACAAAGCAATCATTGAGGCATTTTAACTTCAAACTATTGCTTCCAGCTAAAATATATATCCATAATCCACAATGTTGCTTTTAGTGAAAAAGTCATCTGGTCTGAATCAGGAGAGAAATCTGCACAGATCAAGCACTTTTTAAAAGATAAAACATTCTAAAACGGCTCTAAACAAATATGTTGGTGGATTTTGATGTGAGAGGA